ACCTCCGTTCTGCCACATCTGCAAGACTTCGGGTCATCCTCGCACGCATTGCCCGTCTCGTCAGACAACACCACAGCGACAACTCCGGCCTTCAAGCTCCCAAGTCGATTCAACACAAGCAAATGCGACGACCACAGTTCAAGCTTCAACGACTTCAACTGGACAACCTGCACAAGGAGCAAGAAACATAGTCAACTGCATGGTGAAGATAACCGACTCGTGTACAACCGAATCACCACCGCACTACTCACCGGAAGAAGAGCTCGACAACAGAACGCCTCGCCGCGAGTCACTCCAGCCGAATCCGACGTACGCCGCCATCGCTCAAAGCGAACCTTCCGGCCAAGACACTTGGTTCTTGGATAGTTGCTGCGGGCAACACATGTGCTCCTCCGGGCGCTTCGTACAACGCGAACATCGACTCCAGCGAGAAGTAGTCATCACGGTCGCCAACAATCAGAACCTGCGCACACGACGACAAGGAGTGGTACAGCTTCAGTCAAGAGAGACAAACGTCATACTGCACATGTCAAAGGTACTCATCGCAGAAGGACTCGGTTACAACTTACTGAGTGTTAGCCAGCTGATGGCGAAAGGCATCCACTTGGAAGCCGACAGCACCACCCAGGAGTTTAAATTGTATCACGGGAAGGGCGGTCTCTACTTCGGGAGAGCAGTGTTGAAGAACAACGTCTTCGTTCTTGACTTCGTCCCTGACCTAGGCACTGCAGACAGCGACGCCATCGTCAACTTCGCAGACTGGACTCACCCTCCAGATCTCGATCCCGACTTCAGCTCGGGAGGCTTCTGGTACTCGCACACCATCCCTGAGGCAGAACGAACACGAGCATTAGCAACGATTCATCAAACGGCAGCAGCAGAGATAACAACGGTAGCAGCAGAGACATCAACGGCAGCAGCAGAGATAACAACGGTAGCAGCAGAGACAACAACGGTAGCAGCAGAGACACCATCGGCAGCAGCAGAACCAACGACACCAGTCACAATCGACGAAGCACCACCAACACCCGCACAACAGCTGAATCCGACTCAACGAGAAGTCCACCAAAGCGCCAACTTCGTTGCCAGCTTTTACTCCAACTCCGACGCATACCAACGTTCACCCGGACATCGCGCCTCTGAAGACATCTGGCACGCACGCACAGGACATCCAAGCAACACGGTATTAAACAATACGATACGAGCAGGAGTGCTAAACAAAGATTCGCTACTACTACTCGACGGCAGAGAACTTCGACGTGCACAGGGGACTTGCCTCATCTGCCCCGAGGCCGACTTACCACATCGACCTTTTTCTTCTCACCACAACCCGAGCGCATCTGCATACGCACCACTTGAAAAGGTTTACAGCGACATCCTCTACAATCGAGACCCAGGCCAAGTGACCTATAATTACACAATCACCTTCATCGACGCCGCCACTCGATACGTCTGGCATCGAAACCTACCCAGCCGCGACATGGCTCTCGCAGCGTTCGTCGCCTGGCTATCGATAGCAGAAAGGGAATCAGGAACGCAGCTGAAAAGCTTCCGGTCAGACGGAGGTGGCGAGTACACCTCTCAGCGCTTCAAGCAGTACCTGGCGGAAAGGGGGATCAAGCAACTCCTCTCCCTTCCCCACGCACATCAGCAGCAAGGTGTTGCAGAACGGATGAACAGGACTCTGCAGAACAGCATGCACAAACTGCTACGTGGCATGCGGCTACCCAACCACCAGTGGCCAGCAGCAATGGACCACGCTGTCATGCTGCACAACTTGCTGTCGTCGTCGTCACTCCCGAACAACGCATCACCGCATCTGCTGTGGACAGGAAAACAGGGCAACACAAAAATGTTACGAGTTTTCGGTTGCATGGTACAGTATCGACCCCCAGAAGCACGAGCGGGAAGATTTTCGCAACGAGCATAGTGGGGACTACACCTCGGCATCGAGAAAAATTACAACGCGTGGAGAATCTTCGACGTCCACACAAAAGAAACAGTGGCAGCACGTGATGTGATCTTCTACGAACGACTCACCCTTAAGACGTACCTCGCCAACTTGCACGAGAATCGGGACCTCACCAGTGGCTTTCGTGGTGACCGAGCCTTCGCGTCAGCAGCGGACGAAGCAGACTGGGATGAACAGAATGTTGACAACGCATCGGAGGAAGCCGGACCTCTCCCGTACTGCTCCGTCGACGTGCCCATGGACGAAGAAAATCCTCGCGACAGTAACAACGCCGAAGTCTTCTACCACTTCGCCGACAACGGTTACGTAACACCTGCTACAGTCAACACAAATGAAGCAGAAAGAATAGGGCCAAATTTCATGCCCGATCCAGAAGCAGGAGACGAAGCAGCTTATCCCGAGGATACAACACTCCCCCGATACTCACAGACTGGGCTGCAAATTCTCGGTCTCGTCACCGCAGTCCACGGGAACGCCGGCACCTCTCTTCCTAAAGAGCCTGCGACAGTTCAGCAGGCTCTGGGGGGGGAACACAGGGAGAAATGGCGTGAAGCCATGGATAGGGAATTAAAGGCATTGGAGGAACGCAACACCTAGAAGGTCATTCCCGCAAGCATAGCACAAAACAAGACCATTCTCACCGGGAAATGGGTCTTCCGCATCAAGACGAAAGCTGACGGCACAATTGAGAAGTTCAAAGCACGCTGGGTTGTGCGTGGATTCGACCAAGAACAAGGACGAGACTTCACCGAGACCTTCGCCCCAGTTAGTCGACATACCTCTCTTCGAATTCTCCTCGCCGTCGCCGCCATGAAGGAAAAGAAGCTGCGACAGATCGACGTTGCCAACACATTCCTCTACGCACCCATTGACGCCGAAATCTTCGTCGAACTGCCACACGGCACTCACGGAAATCCCAACCAAGTCTGTCAACTACTGAAATCGCTCTACGGAATCAAACAAGCCCCGCGACTGTGGCAACAGCATCTACACACCCGCCTCACCCGCATCGGATTTCGACAACTACCGCACGACCAAGGAATGTATCGCCTCACCAAAGATGCATACTACATCCTACTGATCGTCTATGTCGATGACCTGCTTTACATCGGCTCCACCGACGACGTCATCACCTGGTTCGAAGGGGAGCTACAAAAGGACCTCACGCTCACCGTCTCCTCCACCGTCACCCAATATCTCGGGCTCAACATTCGCGAAGAAGAAAATGCTATCTACCTCAACGCCGAGAAATACGCTGACACTATCGCCAAGCGCTTCTCGCTCACACCTACCGCCATCGCCACGCCATACCGCCACACGACAGGAAGCGGCGAAGGAAATTCCGCTCCACTTAAATCTGCCAGAATACGAGACTACCAGAGGAAACTGGGCTGCCTCCTCTTCGCAGCCGTAACCTGTCGCCCGGATCTATCATACTCCGCGAGTCAACTCGCCACCTATCTCAAGAAACCCGAGCACATGGCGGAACTCGATCGCGCACTGCACTACTTCGTGAGCACACCGACGATCGGCCTAACTTACAACAAGGGCGAAGCTACGACGACGAAACTAATCGGCTACGTCGATGCCGACCATGCCGGCGATTCCGATAACAGGCGCTCTCGCACTGGCTACGTCTATCGCCTCGAGCCTATCGGACCTATCTCCTGGCAGTCGAGCAATCAGGAACTAATTGCTCTATCTTCAGCTGAAGCAGAATATATCGCCCTCTGCTCAGCTACCAAGGAAGGACTCTACCTTCGCGAGCTGCTGGAAGAAGCAAAGTTAGCCGAGTTACCCAACTTCACCCTGTTCTGCGACAACCAATCTGCAATTCGCATCGCCAACAAAAGCGGATTCGCGAACAGAACGAAGCATATCGCTCTGCGATACTTCTTCGTTAAGGACGAGATCGAGAAAGGAAAACTCAATTTATCCTACTTTCCTACGTCCGAGATGGCAGCCGATTATTTGACCAAGAAACTCGGAAAACAGAATTTCGAGTACTGCATGGTGCTGACTGGACAAGGCCACGTCATCATCAGCGACACTCCAGAAGCGAAGGGGAGTGTTGGGAACAACAAGTCTTAAGCGCCTCTGTCGTGTCGAAACTCAGGACACAAGCGAAGCAGTCTGAATCGAAGCATCGCGAGTCAACCCTCGGAGGTTAGGGTAGCCGCCTGGAGGTTACGGGAAAGTCAAAGGTCAGCGACCTTTGACTCAATTACAGCGCGACAGCAAGGACACACAACTGTCTCGACATTTAGCAGTTGCCCGAGTCGCACTGTATCGAATCGCAACAGTAAAGCGGTTTAAATCTATCTATTCGTATTCCTTGTACTCATATATAAACCTTGTATTTGCTTGTTTAATCCAACTTACTTTGCCCTCACATACCAGCGCAAGGTGGTTCAATTACTTCTCTATTCAACGCTTCCGCTATTACAATCCTACTCAGTCTTTAAGCTCTACAAAGATCCTAGGGCTTCTCAGCCCAACAGGTTGCTTGTTGTTGATTGGCCTTCCCCACTTAGGCTATGGGGGTGTGTCAAATATTATAGCCTGTAGTGGGTTGGGCTATATGGGGTACAACTAGTTAGGGTTAGGTTATGTACCCCAATTCTGTCAATACAACGCATTCCGCTGTAGTTCTCATTCTGACAACCCTCTCTCTTCCCCTTCTATGTATTTCTTACTGACCCAACACATCATGCCATCAAAAGCCTGTTGCGGTGTTTTTTACCAACGGGTTATTGGCCACGGTGTTTTGTAACCTTGGCATGTTCCCTACCATAACACAGTATGTAATCAAAACAGTTTGGTTACAAGTAAAGGCACAGAGGCAATCCATGCACACTGAGCAATGTACGTTGGGTCAAGTCTACAGCCAGGTTGAAATAATAGGCGACGCAGGAAATTTGACGATGCTGGCAGGCGATAGGGAGGATAGGCGAGCGAGGAAAGGGTTCACGCAGCACGTCACCTTTCCTGGTCACCACAAGCTTTTGGTCCCTGCCAGGCGGACCAGTCATTGGAGGAGGCAGAGATGGGGTGAGGCAGAGATGGGGCGAGGCAGAGATGGGGCGAGGCAGAGATGGGGCGAGGAGATGGGAGTAGGGATGCTGTGGGGGAGAGGAGATGGGAGAAGGGATGCAATGGGGGAGAGGAGATGGGAGTAGGGATGCAGTGGGGGAGAGGAGATGGGAGTAGGGATGCAGCGGGGGAGAGCAGATGGGAGTAGGGATGCAGTGGGGGAGAGCAGATGGGAGTAGGGATGCAGTGGGGGAGAGGAGATGGGAGTAGGGATGCAGTGGGGGAGAGGAGATGGGAGTAGGGATGCAGTGGGGGAGAGGAGATGGGAGTAGTGATGCAGTGGGGGAGAGGAGATGGGAGTAGGGATGCAGTGGGGGAGAGGAGATGGGAGTAGGGATGCAGCGGGGGAGAGGAGATGGGAGTAGGGATGCAGTGGGGGAGAGAAGATGGGAGTAGGGATGCAGTGGAGGAGAGGAGATGGGAGTAGGGATGCAGTGGGGGAGAGGAGATGGGAGTAGGGATGCAGTGGGGGAGAGGAGATGGGAGTAGGGATGCAGTGGGGGAGAGCAGATGGGAGTAGGGATGCAGTGGGGGAGAGGAGATGGGAGTATGGATGCAGTGGGGGAGAGGAGATGGGAGTAGGGATGCATTGGGGGAGAGGAGATGGGAGTAGGGATGCAGCGGGGGAGAGGAGATGGGAGTAGGGATGCAGCGGGGGAGAGCCGGGATGTAGTGGGGGAACGGAGGGATACAGTGGGGGAAAGGAGGCGAGGAGATCTGGGAAAGGAGGAGAAGCAGCGGGGGAAAGAAGGGGAAGCAAGAGGGGGAAAGGAAGGGAAGCAAGGGCAGAAAGGAGGAAAGGCGGGGGGGGAAAAGAGGATGGGACAAGGGAAGGCGAGTAAGAGTGTGAGGATGGGCAGGAGGTTTTACTCTCTGGGAGCAGCGCTTCAAATCCTGCTGGGAGCAGCGATGGACTCACCACCCAGCCTGGGAAGGGAAGGGGAGGGAGGGAATAGAGGATGTGATGAGGGACCAGGCGCGTAAGAGTGTGTGGGCTGGGGGAAATTCGGGGCTATCAGGCGGGAAGCACGAGGGAGTGAGTTTGAGTCTGGGGAATGCGGAAGGGGGAATGCGGAAGGGGGAATGCGGAAGGGGGAATGAGGAAGGGGGAATGCGGAAGAGGGAATGCGGAAGAGGGAGCGAGTGCGCGCGGGGGGAGCGAAAGCGAGTGGGGGGAGCAAATGCGTGCTGGGGGAGTAAGTGCGCGCGAGGCCCGCGATTGCGCGCGGGGGAAGCTCGTACGCGCGGGAAGAGCGAGCGTGCGCGGGGGGGGTGAATGCGCGCTGCGGGAGCGAGTGCGCGCGGAGGGAGCGAGTGCGCGCGGGGCGAGTGCGCGCGGGGGGGAAAATGGGGCGCGCGGTGGGAGCGAATGTGCGCTTGGGGAGTTAGTGTGCGCTGGAGGTGTGAGTGCGCGCTGGAGCAGTGAGTGCGCGCGTGAGGACGGGGAGGGGTAGGGAGTGGGGCGGAAGGGACGGTGGTATGCAAAGAGACACGTCCACATCTCATAGCACGCAGCGGATTGCTCGCTTGGGAGTTCGCAGAAAAGTTGACGGCGGGCTAGCGAAATGCAATTCAACAGACCGGCGAATGGTTTTCATGCGGGCCCGGCGATAGGGTAAATGGCTATCTCGCCGGACCGCTCTAAGAAAGGTTGTGGCGGCCTCGACAAGTGCAGTTTTGCGGGCCGCGCAATGCTTTTCAAGGCGATAGGGAAAGCGATTTCGCCGAATGCTCGTCGACGGGCCCGCGGAATGTTCGGTGGCGCGCCCAACTAAAAGTATACGACGTGCTCGCCGAATGCAACGTCGCGGCCTGTATGAATGGGTAGAATGAGGTTGTTCCCTGTAGTGTAATCTTTAGTTTGTGCGAACTCACGAGATGGTTAAGTGGCCGTGATGTCCGGTCTGCCGGCCCAAGTGCGTCTCTAGAGTGCGAGTCTTGGGGTAGACTGATAGAAGCTAATTAGCTAATTGATACCTGCCAACAATACTAGGTGTTTTGGTGACGAGTAAGTGCATCTCTTTTGTGCACACACAAGTCTCCCCAAGTGGTGGAAGGGCTCGGAGTTTTCGCCAACACTCTCGCCAAGCTGTTTCACTTTCGCTGGAGCGAACTGGTTTTGGGTTCTGTAGTCACTCCAACAGTCTTGCCTAATGTATACCGCTGCTTTAAAGCCCGAGGTCAGCATGGTTATTGCCAAAAAAAACTGAAGGGGTTAAATCGTGTTGCCGAAAGTCAAAAAAGTTCATTTCGGGAATATGGGCGGGGCGAAAGCGAGATCATTCAACGAGGAGATTGTGTAGTCGTCACTCAACATCGGTTGGAGTGTGCGACAACCAACCCAACTGAGCGTGAAAAAACCACCCAAGTGTGAGCTTTTCTTGAGTTAGTAATAATAAAAAAACTCCTTCCCTTCCCTCATTTAGCTCCTCCACTCGCCGCGCTTCCCATTTCCGCATTCCCCCGCCCATCGTCGCGCCACCCGCTGTCGCGCCAACGATCCTTTCGTCGCGCATCCTCTCGTGCCTCGCCTCCCATCGTCGCGCCTCCTCGCCGCGCCTCCCGTCGTCTCGCCTCCCGTCGTTTCTGGGAGCCTCCGCTTGTCGCGCCTCCGCTCGCCTCGTCGCCCCTCCGCTCGCCTCATCGCGCCTCTGCTCGCCTCGCCGCGCCTCCGCTCTCCTCGCCGCGCCTGCGCTCGCCTCCGCGCGCCTCCTATAACGGATCTCGTAAGAAAAAAAGGCATTTACCCATATATAGATAAGTTCTAACACAAACAGAGAGTAGCAGCTCCTGGAAATCACTAAGTCTGGAGAATGCTAGGAGATGCAGTAACAAACTGTGGAAGGTGAGTTGAGAGAAAGCAATCCTATTTCCCAATTGATTAGTTGGGAGTAGGAAATGAAGAATGAGCCCAGAGGCTTCAGACCCCTTCCCTAGACCCCCTTGGGGTGCAGCCACCTTCCCCATGGCAAGGAGGGGTGCACCCCCTTGGGCCTTGCCCATGTGGCAATAAACAAGATTCTCAACCAATAATATTATAGATAGCAAGGATAAGAAATGCACAGCATTCACAAACCTGTGTTTGATGTTTATTGGTTGTGTTTGGAGTGAGCGGCGGAAATGTTATCGACTCACTCTTGGGGCTGTGTTCTGATTGGTTGAATTAGTGATGAGGTGAACTTACGTGGGTTATGTTTGAACCAGCTCAAACCAATTGCGTAAGTTTGACTCAGCAGCAATTTTGATTGGTTGGTTTCCCAGTCAATCCTGAATTGCTCGTAAGTCTCGCTTTCCCAACCAACCAGATTTCCCCACATTTCTCCCTCAGCTGGTTCGACGTATCAAGACCAGCTGGGGTTGGGTACGGATGTTACACTCCTCCCCCTCCAGCTGGCAACGTCCTCGTTGCCGTGGGGTGCTTCTTAGGACGAGTGCTACGAGCACGACGAACCACATTACGACCAGGGTCAACACCATCCGCTGGTTGTGGGAGTGCCCGTTGAGCCAGGTCTTCCATGTAAGACTGAACCGCAGTATCAGTCAAATGTTCTTCCGGCTCCCAAGAGTTGTGTTCAGGACCATAGCCTTCCCACTTAATGAGGAACTCTCGTACAGTCTTGCGGCCGCGTTGTCGATCACGATGCAAAAGCACTCGTTCGACTTCTTAGTACAGTTCCTCCCCTAGAACGATTGTTGGTGGTGGTAAGTACTTGCCTTCTGCAACGTACTTGCTTAACAGAGACACATGGAAGACATTGTGAATCTGAAGGGTATCAGGTAGCTTGAGTTTGTAAGCTACCGCACCAACTCGTTGAATCACCTCAAAGGGCCCAATCCAGCGAATGTTCTCGCGCCAGGGATCTTAAGCCGAATGTTCTTCGTGCTTAACAAAACTTTGTCTCCAACAGAGAACAAGACTTCCCGACGTTTCATATCGGCATATGATTTTTGCCTCTGTTGGGCTAATTGCAGCCAACGACGTGCCGACTTTAGGGCCTCTCGTTGCTTGCCCACAAAATCCTTTGCGGCTGGTAATTTCAAACCGCCGATCCCATGCGTAGCAGGTGTTGTGGGATGCCGACCACAGTTCAAGATAAATGGTTTTTCATGTGTGCTATCATGCACTGAGTTGTTAACTGCAAACTTGACCATGGGTAACAACTCGTCCCAGTTTTCCTGTGTTGGGCTTATGAAAGAACGAAGCATCTGCTCGAGAGTGCGGTTAGTCCGTTCCGTTTGCCCATCTGTCTGGGGATGGAACGCTGATGACATCTTAAGCTTCGTTCCTAGTGTCTCTGTTACTTCACGCCAAAATCGGCTCGTGAAGTGCGGATCGCGATCAGACACTAATACACGTGGCAATCCGTGTAGACGGAACACATGTGTCACGAACAACCGAGTAGTATCCTCTGTTGATATGTCTGTTGTCGTGGGTACGAAGTGCACCATTTTTGTGAGGCGATCTACAAAGACGACTATCGCTGTATACCCATCACGGGTTCTTGGGAGGTCGGTGATGAAATCCAGTGAAACGCTTTCCCAAGTTTCACTCGGAATTTCAAGTGGTTGAAGCAAACCACCAGGCTTCTGTGTGTCCGCTTTGTTACGTGCGCACGCGTCACAACGTGCCACAAACTGTTGGACATCACTACCGACTCCTGGCCACCAATACACATCTCGTAGGGCCCATCGGGTCTTATTCATGCCCAAGTGTCCCCCATATTTAGTGGCATGCACCTCTTCCAAAATATCGTTCCGCAGATTGCCTACGTGAGGGACCGCAATCTCTTTTGTTCGCCACCAAAGATCGTGTTCCCATGTCAAATGTCTGGTGTTTTGTGGGTTCTGGAACCAGGAATCAATATGATATCCAGTACAAATTCGTTTCAGAAAACCACTGAATGCGATCTCACTCACTTTCACCGCAGCTAGTATGCCAAAATAGGCAGCAAAAACAGCCGCATGTTCGGTATCGTCAAGCCCAGTTGCTGCCCTTATCGGCTGTCTGCTGAGGGGATCCGCCAGGTTTGTGGAACCTGCACGATAACGAATGTCGAAACTGAACCCACTAAGGAGTTCAGCCCAACGGGCCTGACGGCGAGTGAGGGTAGCTTGGGTAGAAAAATATGTGTTCGGACAATGGTCAGTGGTGACCACGAACTCTACCCCTTCCAAGTAACATCGCCATGTTCTTAGCGCATGCACGACAGCCAACAACTCTTGTTCGGTTGTCGTGTAGCGTTGCTCTGCCGGGGAGAGTTTTCTACTCTCAAATGCCACAGGGCGTCCTTCTTGCAGGAGTACTGCACCAAGTCCCACCGTCGAGGCGTCCGCAACCACCTCATATGGTTTCTTTGGGTTTGGCAACACCAAAACTGGTGCGTTGTTAATTTATGCTTGACCTCTTCGAAGGCCTTTTGGCACTGTGGAGTCCACTCCCACGTGCACCCTTTCCGGGTCAATGCCGTGAGGGGAGTGACTATCGTGGAATAATTTTCCAAGAAGCGACGAAAATAATTCGCCAGGCCCAGGAATGATCGAACTTGGCCAACGTCGCGTGGGACGGGCCACTCCTGGACAGCTGCTACCTTCTTGGGGTCCACTTTCAGACCGTTGTGCCCCACTACGTGCCCCAAATACTCTAGCTCGCGTTTGTAAAAATGGCATTTCCACAAACGTGCGTAATATTTGTGCTCGCGTAATTTTTTGAGGACCCATTTCAGGTGTTCAGTATGCTCATCTTCGGTTTTTGAGTATACCAGGATATCATCGAGGTACACCAAGACGAACTGGCCAATCGCATCACGAAAAACATCGTTCATCGCCCTCTGGAAAGAGGCCGGTGCGTTGGTCAAGCCAAAACTTAACACACGCCACTGAAAATGGCCGAACGGCGAACGGAAAGCCGTCTTTGGAACATTGTCCTCTGTTATACGCAATTGGTGATAGCCTTGCGCCAAGTCCAGTGCACTGAACCATTGCGCACCCTGTAGTCGATCAAATAAATCTTCTATGCGCGGAAGTGGATATCTGTTTTTTATCGTAATTTTATTCAGGGCTCGATAATCGACGCACATGCGCAGTCCACCTCTTTTCTTGTGAACAAACTAGATAGGTGCTCCATATGGGGACGCGCTAGGTTCTATCCATCCCTTCCTGAGGTACTCCTCAATCTGATGTTTAGCCTCCTCGTACTCAGCTGGACTGAGGCGATACAGAGGTCTAAATGGTGGTGCCTTTCCTGGTTCCACCGGGATGGTGTGGCCAACTGCACGGTCGGGGGGTAACCCGTCCGGGATTGGTTCGAAAACCTTAGAATATTCCTCTGCCAACGCCTTCATTTGAGGTGGAAAGTCCTCAATAATCTGTGAAGGGGTTGGTTCAGAGTCCAGCTGTACAACAAAAAGTGTATCAGCTCCCTTGACATGCTCTTTGAATTGGAGAGCCGACGTAAAGCGCACATCAAGAGCCAGGCTTTGAGGTTTATCGTCCAGTGCATGGCGCTTTGGGACTTGCCATTGAAACGCCGTCCCATTCTTTGTGAATGAAAGCGTGTTATCTTGGAAATTTAATATCACCTCATTAGGCCGCAGCCAATCCATTCCCAAGACAATGTCTACGCCTGCTAGGAGGGGTAAGACAAAAACGCTGATGGTCTCCTGATATCCTTGGATATCCAGGTTGACCAAGGCATATCCTCTGCATGGGATGACCCTGTCATCTCCCAGACGGATAGAGCAAGATGGTCCTTGAACATGCACATTCAAATACCCCATCCATTTCCCATCGATCAATGACGCAGTCGCTCCTGTATCAACCAGGATCGAGGCACCGCGCCCATTTACGCGACCCGAAAACAAAAGGTTCTGCTGACGTTTGGGTCGAATAGGACATGCTGTAATATCAGTGGGAGGCAAATAATATGCCTTAATGCCATGCTTGCTGCGTCCAAATGAACGAGCTTGTGTCCACCACACATGGTGTCCCTTATCCCACTGCGCTAACACGCTCCATCCTTGAAGTGCTCGACACAATTTACCTCGAACTGTGCGCGTTACCATTCCAACCGCGGTTAGAGGGTGCGCTTGGGTGCAACGACCCACCATCTCCATTATCCAAGGCAAATTATGGTGATCACAAAATATAAGTGAGAATTTATCTCGTAATGATTCAATTGTGACATTTTCCAGTGGGTGAAATCGAGAGGCAAACAAAGAGCTTTCATTAAAAGAAAATGCATACACACATGCAATTTTGCAATCAACAAGGCACTCGAGTTTCAATAACTCCTCATCCCGCAGGACCACTGCCTCATCCTCTCGATCTACTATGCCCGCTAGGTACCCACCCCCTAGTTGGGCTTTGCAAAATCCCGCTGGCTGCTCGAGGGACCACTGCCATCATGGCGCTTGTTGTCCATCTTGGACTTGCCAGAGTACTTCACCGCCTTGCGGTGGCGGCACTCATAGCCCTTGTGTCCAGGCTTGCCGCACTTGAAGCAGCTCTGGACATTGCTTGGTCCACCCTCGTTGACCTTCTTGGCCTTGTGGTCAGCCTGCTGCCCCTGCTGGAAGGACCTCTTGTGGTTCCCGCACTTCCAAGGCGTTCCCTGCTGCCTTCCGCTAGGACCCGCAGTGCTAGAAGAGGGCCTTGAGGCCTGCTGCGGCTGGGTAGTGGTTTTGGCATAAGCGCGGAAGTGCTTATCAGTGGTCCCCACCACGCGCTTCACGTGATCATAGGACCTCCATGCCTCCCCAGCCCCATCCGTCATATGCATGTTCTTGAGGTGCTCTGGCAGCCCCCTGAAGAACAGATGGATCTTTTCGCCTTCGCTCATACGTTCCGCCGGTTTCTGGAGCACCCAGATCTCCTCGAACTCCACGGCGTACTGCTGCACTGTGCGGTTCCCGCACTGCAGCTTCTCAAGGCGGCTGCGCACCTCCAGCTGAGTCGGCTGGACCTGGAAAGCTTGCTTGAGTGCATATGCGAATTCCTCCCACCCAAACGGCTTCCTATCCGCCTCAGCCTGGATCTTGCTGCCATACACCACTCGCTGTGCATTCTGGTCCAGCACGGTGGTGGCAGCGACGACGCGAGCGTCGTCTTGGACCTTGTGCGCCTTGAACAGGTCGGTCATCATCGACAACCACGCAACCACGTCCGTTTTGCCATGGATGAATGGCGGCAGGGTGATTGGCAGAGAGCCGAAAGCCTGCGTGCTCGGCTCAACAGCGCGCTGCGTAGAAGGACCAGGGTCACCCACTGCACCACCAGAGCGAGAAGGGTTGGTGCGACTGCTAGCAGAGTTGGCAGGCGGGTCCGCTCGTGGTGCAGGGCGATACATGGTTTCCCTTCGGAGGGCACTGAAGGCCTCGCGCAGCTCGTTGATCTTTGAGGTCTGCCTCGCCAGCTGGTGAACGTGCTCGCGCACGTCATGTTTCATGTTTTTAAGCTCCACTTCCAGGTACTTGATTTTGTCGTCCTGGTCAGAGAGCTCCCTCGTGAGGTTGGTGATGAGTGACTGCTGCTGCTGGATGCGCGTATCCTGCTCACTAGCATGATCCTGCAGCTTAGCAATTTCAGCATGCAGAATATCCTCCTCCCCTTCCGACTCAATGTCATCCTCCTGAGACTCCCCTTCCTGCTCCTTGGAATTTTCAGCAGCTGGAGGGTCCCTTGCAGGGGAGTCAACAACAGGTTCTTTCTCAGCCATTTCCTCATCCATGTTGTTCAGGTCAATTTTCTGCACACAAGCTTCCAGTTCAGCATTGGAGTTGTTGCCTTCAACACCACCAGCATTGGAGTTGGTAGAAGCCATTAATAGCAAAGTCACTGTACTGTAAAAAAAAAAAAGAGTTACAGATCTACTGCAAATTGTTATCACCGCAGTGAAAAACCAAGATTTTCTCCAAAGGAGAAATTTCTTCAATAGATCTTACAACCACAGCAATGTGAAAAAAACACCTCTGTTGCAAAATATCCTTACCACCGCAGTGGATAAGGCAAGAACAATCACAAAGTGATTGTCTTCAACAGAGAATGTTAATTCACACAAGTTGCAACTTCTTCACAGTAGCTCCAATGGTTCCACCAACAGGGAGGGAGGCAGGGCTTAGAACTCTTGGAGAAGCTTGTAGATATTGAAAACCGAAGCTTGAGTAGTTTGTAGTCTTCACAAGTTGATAATATGGACATTACAATGAAAATCACAACTCCTCCAAGAACAAAAGAAAGAAAATCCTCCTAGATGCCCACAAGGCAAGGATATACTAATAGCTCTGATTACCAATGTAACGGATCTTGTAAGAAAAAGGGCATTTACCCATATATAGATAAGTTCTAACACAAACAAAGAGTAGCAGCTCCAGGAAATCACTAAGTCTGGAGAATGCTAGGAGATGCAGTAACAAACTGTGGAAGGTGAGTTGAGAGAAAGCAATCCTATTTCCCAATTGATTAGTTGGGAGTAGGAAATGAAGAATGAGCCCAGAGGCTTCAGACCCCTTCCCTAGACCCCCTTGGGGTGCAGCCACCTTCCCCATGGCAAGGAGGGGTGCACCCCCTTGGGCCTTGCCCATGTGGCAATAAACAAGATTCTCAACCAATAATATTATAGATAGCAAGGATAGGAAATGCACAGCATTCACAAACCTGTGTTTGATGTTTATTGGTTGTGTTTGGAGTGAGCGGCGGAAATGTTATCGACTCACTCTTGGGGCTGTGTTCTGATTGGTTGAATTAGTGATGAGGTGAACTTACGTGGGTTATGTTTGAACCAGCTCAAACCAATTGCGTAAGTTTGACTCAGCAGCAATTTCGATTGGTTGGTTTCCCAGTCAATCCTAAATTGCCCGTAAGTCTCGCTTTCCCAACCAACCAGATTTCCCCACATTTCTCCCTCAGCTGGTTCGGACGTATCAAGACCAGCTGGGGTTGGGTACGGATGTTACACCTCCTCTCGCCTCGTCGCGCCTCTGCTCGCCTCGTCGCGCTTCAGCTCGCCTCGCCGCGCCTCCGCTCGCCTCGCCGCGCCTCCCTGCCATCAGCGCGCCAACACCCTCATTTCCTCCCCCCCTTCCCCTCATTTCCCCCGCTCCTTCCCCTCATTTCTCTCCCTGCTTCCCTTCATTTCCCTTCCTGCTTCTCCTCATTTCCCTCCCTGCTTCCCCTCGTTTCCCCCCCTGCTTCCCCTCATTTCCCCCATTGATTCCCCTCATTTCCCCCGTTGATTCCCCTCATTTCCCTTCTTGATTCCCCTGATTTCCCTCCCTGCTTCTCCTCAGTTCCCCCCTTGATTCCCGTGATTTCTCTCCCTGCTTCCCCTCATTTCCCTCCCTGCTTCCCCTCATTTCCCCCCTTGATTCTCCTCATTTCCCTCCCTGCTTCTCCTCATTTCCCCCCTTGATTCCCCTCTTTTCTCTCCGTGCTTCCCCTCATTTCCCTCCCTGGTTCCCCTCATTTCCCCCCTTGATTCTCCTCGTTTCCCTCCCTGCTTCTCCTCATTTCCCTTCTTGCTTCTCCTCCCCCCTGCTTCCCCTCATATCCGCCCCTGCTTCTCCTCAATTCCCCCTCTGTTTCCCCACGTTCCCCTCTTTGCTTCCCCTCATTCCCCCCTTTGATTTCTCTCATTTTCCCTCCTCCTTCCCCTCATTTGCCTCGCTGGTTCCCCTCATTTACCCTCCATGATTCACCTCATTTCCCTCACTATTTTCCTGTTTGTACCCTCCTGCTTCTCCTCATTTCCCTCCGTTGCTTCTCCTCATTTCCCTCCGTTGCTTCTCCTCATTTCCCAGGAATTCCCCCTCTGTTTCCGCTCGTTTCCCCACCTGCTAAACCTTCGTTTCCCCCTCTTCCTTCCCTCGTTTCATATTCCAATTTCCCCCGTTCCCTCTTTCCCTTTGTCCCTATCCTCCCTCTTCCTAAGGTATTTCCTTCTTTCCCTCTCACCCTCTTCCTTTCACCTCCTTTCTCTTCCCCCCTGCTTCCCTCTTCCCCCTCTTTCCTATCTCCCCTATCTCCGCACTTCTCATCTCTCTGTTTGACCTTTTTCCTTGTTCCCCCTCCCCATCCCTCGCAATCTCTCTCTCTACCTGGCTATTGCAGTGACTACACTGAAGCTTTTTTTGGTACCGGTACTTCAACTCGCCTCAGCCAATCTTCCATGCCATGCTCTTAGCGTAACCTGTTCCCCTCATGGTTTTTTCAAGGCCTTGAGAAAGGTTCAGTTGTACGGTATTGTTCATGGTTTTTCTCTTAGTGTCCATGCATCTTGGAAAAATATATTGCACTCCAAAAATAAAAGTACATGGGGAGCCTTTGCGATGCATATCGCCAACAGTAATACAGTATCATGCTTGCATACAACACACAAGAAACAGGTGGTAAGGCAATGTAAAGCACTGACTGGCTGCGCCTCAACTTGCAACTGATGCTCCTTTGCCTCACCACTGAGAGAGGGGAGAAAGAAAGAAAGAATTGCGTGAAGAAACATGGGGGAGGTGGTGTGAGGTGCAACGGAACAATGGCAGGGGAATACAAGCAAGCGCACATAATGAAATCATGAACGGGGAAATAGAGATGGGTGCACATGCATGGGAAGTAGAGGGCAGAAGGTGAGGAGTGAGGGGGAAGGGGAGGGCATGAAAAGGAGTTGATCGGGAAGGGAAGGCTTGAGAAGGGAAGGGGACATGGGGAAGTAGGGAAGGGGATGGGGGGAAGCAGGGAAGGGGATGGTGGGAAGTAGGGAAGGGGATGGGGGGAAGCAGGGAAGGGAACATGGGAAAGCAGGGAAGGGGACGGGGGGAAGCAGGGAATGGGATGGGGGGAAGCAGGGAAGGGGATGGGGGGAAGCAGGGAAGGGGACATGGGAAAGCAGGGAAGGGGACGGGGGGGAGCAGGGAATGGGATGGGGGGAAGCAGGGAATGGGATGGGGGGGAGCAGGGAAGGGGATGGGGGGAAGCAGGGAAGGGGATGGGGGGAAGCAGGGAAGGGGATGGGGGGAAGTAGGGAATGGTATGGGGGGGAGCAGGGAAGGGGATGGGGGGGAGCAGGGAAGGGGATGGGGGGGAGCAGGGAAGGGGATGGGGGGAAGCAGGGAAGGGGACATGGGAAAGCAGGGAAGGGGACGGGGGGGAGCAGGGAATGGGATGGGGGGAAGCAGGGAATGGGATGGGGGGGAGCAGGGAAGGGGATGGGGGGAAGCAGGGAAGGGGATGGGGGGAAGCAGGGAAGGGGATGGGGGGAAGTAGGGAATGGTATGGGGGGGAGCAGGGAAGGGGATGGGGGGGAGCAGGGAAGGGGATGGGGGGAAGCAGGGAAAGGGATGGGGAGAAAAAGGGTAGGGGATGGGGGGAAGCAGGGAAGGGGATGGGGGGAAGCAGGGAAGGGGATGGGGGGAAGCAGGGAAAGGGATGGGGAGAAAAAGGGTAGGGGATGGGGGGAAGCAGGGAAAGGGACATGGGGAATTAGGGAAGGGGATGGGGGGAAGCACGGAAGGGGACATGGGGAAGCAGGGAATGGGATGGGGGGAGGCAGGGAAGGGGACATGGGGAAGTAGGGAAGGGGATGGGGGGAAGCAGGGAAGGGGATGGGGGGAAGCAGGGAAGGGGATGGGGAGAAAAAGGGTAGGGGATGGGGGGAAGCAGGGAAAGGGATGGGGAGAAAAAGGGTAGGGGATGGGGGGAAGCAGGGAAAGGGACATGGGGAAGTAGGGAAGGGGATGTGGGGTAGCAGGGAAGGGGATGGGGGGAAGCAGGGAAGGGGATGGTGGGGAAGCAGGGAAGGGGACATGGGGAAGCAGGGAATGGGATGGGGAGAAGCAAGGAAGGGGACATGAGGAAGTAGGGAAGGGGATGGGGGGAAGCAGGGAAGGGGATGGGGGGAAGCAGGAAAGGGGATGGGGGGAAGCAGGGAAAGGGATGGGGAGAAAAAGGGTAGGGGATGGGGGGAAGCAGGGAAAGGGACATGGGGAAGTAGGGAAGGGGATGGGGGGAAGCAGGGAAGGGGACATGGGGAAGCAGGGAATGGGATGGGGGGAGGAAGGGAAGGGGACATGGGGAAGTAGGGAAGGGGATGGGGGGAAGCAGGGAAGGGGATGGTGGGGAAGCAGGGAAGGGGATGGGGGGAAGCAGGGAAGGGGATGGGGGGAAGCAGGGAAGGGGATGGGGGGAAGCAGGGAAAGGGATGGGGAGAAAAAGGGTAGGGGATGGGGGGAAGCAGGGAAAGGGATGGGGAGAAAAAGGGTAGGGGATGGGGGGAAGCAGGGAAAGGGACATGGGGAAGTAGGGAAGGGGATGGGGGGAAGCAGGGAAGGGGACATGGGGAAGCAAGGAATGGGATGGGGGGAGGCAGGGAAGGGGACATGGGGAAGTAGGGAAGGGGATGGGGGGAAGCAGGGAAGGGGATGGGGGGAAGCAGGGAAGGGGATGGGGAGAAAAAGGGTAGGGGATGGGGGGAAGCAGGGAAAGGGATGAGGAGAAAAAGGGTAGGGGATGGGGGGAAGCAGGGAAAGGGACATGGGGAAGTAGGGAAGGGGATGGGGGGTAGCAGGGAAGGGGATGGGGGGAAGCAGGGAAGGGGATGGTGGGGAAGCAGGGAAGGGGACATGGGGAAGCAGGGAATGGGATGGGGGGAAGCAAGGAAGGGGACATGAGGAAGTAGGGAAGGGGATGGGGGGAAGCAGGGAAGGGGATGGGGGGAAGCAGGGAAGGGGATGGGGGGAAGCAGGGAAGGGGATGGGGGGAAGCAGGGAAAGGAACATGGGAAAGTAGGGAAAGGGAAAGGAAGGGTGTGTGCGGGTTGGAAAAGGGGCGTGACAAGTGTGGGAGTTGGGAAGGGAGAAGGGAGGGATGGCGACAGTAACGGGGATACCAGGGCGACAAGGGGAGAGAGATATGGGGATTGAGAGGGGACAAGCGGGAGGGAGGGCGGCGAGCAGCAGGGAGCGCGACGAGACAAAGGGGGGCAACGGGCGGAAGGGAGCGCGACGAGGAGAAGGTAGGGCGGCGGGCGGTCGGGAGGACAATGAGAGGAAGGGAGGGCGACGAGACGAAGGGAGGGTGACGGGCGGAAGGGAGGGCGACGGGCGGAAGGGAGGGCGACGGGCGGAAGGGAGGGCGACGGGCGGAAGGGGATGCGACGAACGCTAGGGAGTGCGACGGGCGGAAGGGAGGGCGACGTCGGAAGGGAGTGCGACGCGCGCTAGGGAGGGCGACGGGCATAAGGTAGGGCGACGGTTGAGGGGAGATCGATGGGCGTAAGGGAGTGCGACGGGCGAAAGGGAGTACAGGCACGTGGAAGGGAGTGCAGGCACGCGGAAGGTAGTGCGACGGGCGGAAGCGTGTGCGTCGAGAAGTTGGCAAGCGTCTTGAAGACAGGCAAGCGCCCGTTCCTTGCGCTTCGCACGTAGATGTGAGCGCCCGCGTCCCTACAGAATTGGGCGTTTCACGTGACGTTTTTCTTTATGCTGGCTTTTTTTTATGGAGAACAATACATAGGCTGCTGCAAGGATACAGACAGCTCGCTGCCATTGTGAAAATTAGAGCTAGTGCGCTCTTGTGGTCCTGAATAGCGGAGTAGACTACGTGACTGTGCCTGAATATGGCTGCACGTAAGTACAACTTGGTTTTCAAGTTTACTGAATGTGAACAGTGCTCCATCTCCCGTGGACACACGACTCCTCATGATTTTCCATGTGCTTTCTATCCTTACTCACCAAATATTATCCAAGTCATCTACCTCCTCCAATATTCCTCCCTCCATATGCCTTCAAGCACATGCTTCTAATTCCTAGCCATCAACCTCCACATGCCTCTTATTTATTCCTTCCTTCCTTCCTTTCCCAAGTCACCAAAGTTGCCAACTCATCCCTCAAGGACTTCATGATTATCCCATCACCTCCTATTCCAATGCAACAAAGCTCATCTTCTCCTCCACTCATCCTTATCCAACTCACTAAGCTCTCTTCCAACTCAACAAGGCTTACATCTCCAACTCACCAAGTGCTCAACCACCACTACATGCTCCAATATTATTCATCTACATCAAGCATCTCTACAACTTCTCAAGAAGGTTCTTCAATGACAACAATGCCAACCACCATAGCCGTTCCTAATCCAACTCATCTAAGACTTCAACCAAAATTCATATTCACCTCCAAGTCTTTCCCTAAGGCACACGACTCCTCATGATTTTCCATGTGCTTTCTATCCTTACTCACCAAATATTATCCAAGTCATCTACCTCCTCCAATATTCCTCCCTCCATATGCCTTCAAGCACATGCTTCTAATTCCTAGCCATCAACCTCCACATGCCTCTTATTTATTCCTTCCTTCCTTCCTTTCCCAAGTCACCAAAGTTGCCAACTCATCCCTCAAGGACTTCATGATTATCCCATCACCTCCTATTCCAATGCAACAAAGCTCATCTTCTCCTCCACTCATCCTTATCCAACTCACTAAGCTCTCTTCCAACTCAACAAGGCTTACATCTCCAACTCACCAAGTGCTCAACCACCACTACATGCTCCAATACTATTCATCTACATCAAGCATCTCTACAACTTCTCAAGAAGGTTCTTCAATGACAACAATGCCAACCACCATAGCCATTCCTAACCCAACTCATCTAAGACTTCAACCAAAATTCCTATTCACCTCCAAGTCCAACCATAAGGCACACGACTCCTCATGATTTTCCATGTGCTTTCTATCCTTACTCACCAAATATTATCCAAGTCATCTACCTCCTCCAATATTCCTCCCTCCATATGCCTTCAAGCACATGCTTCTAATTCCTAGCCATCAACCTCCACATGCCTCTAATTTATTCCTTCCTTCCTTCCTTTCCCAAGTCACCAAAGTTGCCAACTCATCCCTCAAGGACTTCATGATTATCCCATCACCTCCTATTCCAATGCAACAAAGCTCATCTTCTCCTCCACTCATCCTTATCCAACTCACTAAGCTCTCTTCCAACTCAACAAGGCTTACATCTCCAACTCACCAAGTGCTCAACCACCACTACATGCTCCAATACTATTCATCTACATCAAGCATCTCTACAACTTCTCAAGAAGGTTCTTCAATGACAACAATGCCTCTCAAGCTTCTTCATCAAGCTCCTCTCCAAGCTCATTCCAAGCTTCTCCTTCAAGCTCCTCTTCAACTACAAAGGCTCCTCACTAGCAACCAAGTTTCTATGTCTCCAAATTTGATACTCTCATGCTACTCTCTTCCAAGGCTACCATTGATGGTTACTCTCTCTATGAATGCCTATGTATCCCTCATGTATCTATAAGGCTTGTACTATACTCTCTTTAATATAAGTTTATGCTCATAAGGCTCTCTCTCACATAGTTTACAAAGTAGTTATCAAGTGAAGAGTAGTCTACTTCATACTCCTTAAGAGTATAAGGAAGCTACAAGCTCAAGGGAGGATCATCATCCAACCCAAGGCTAGAAGTCACTCCCAAGTAAACCATACAAGTTCAAGTTCTTCTTTCAAGTTACTTCTACAACTATCCCTAGTAAGATTCACTCAAGTAAGTGTTCATCACCGCTCTTATTCTTTCAACGAGCTCATACTCTTCTTCTCTTCTAAGTTTTTATCTCATCAAGCATTTCATCTTACACAAGTTTCTCTTTATAGTCACGAGTTCTAAGCATTATCTTCTCTTCCATCAAGCTCATCTATATACTCTACAGTTTCACTGTTCACTCTTGTCTTATTCTAAAGTGCAATTATACTCTTTTGTCGTTATCTCAATTCTCTACTGGTATCAGAGCTACTTACCTCCTCGCTTTCGCTAGTATCCTCTTAACAAGAGGTTTATACCCGCTCTCCATGACTCCCTCTCCTAAGGGCTCTAACCCAAAGAGTGCCACTTCGCAAGGAGAATCAAGCTCCTCCGAAGTAAGCGGCAACACAGGAGGAAAAGACACCTCATCATCTCCTACTCTCCCCTCTCCTATTTACACCCAAATGTCTACCCCCTCTTCTTTAACTCCCAAGCTAGAAGTTTCACGGTTCAATGGAAAGAATTCGCTTCCAATTGGCCTCCACTCTCCTAGAGTGGTGGCCCGTTTACTCTGGTTCTCTCTCTCCTCCTACCTCCGAAGCCCCTCCCACAGAGCAAACCGCATGGATCAAGAAGAATGCCTAAGCTTACCTCTACCTCCTCAACTCCGTCCAAGACCAATACGCCAAGTCATTGCTCACGTGCGCGAGTCATCCCGACAGTGCAAAGCACGCATGGGAGAGGCTCACAAGGCTTCATCAAGCGCGCTTCGCTCCTGCCCTCCCGTCGCGTCCCCTGCCCTTAGCGGCCCATCGCACCCCCCTTAAGGCCCCTCGCGGCCCCTCTCACGGCCCTTCGCGGCCCCTTCACGGCTCCCTCGCGGCCCCTCCGCCGACCTTCGCGGCCCCTCTCACGACCCTTTGCGGCCCCTTACCGCCCCTCGCGGCCCCTTCGCGGCCCCTCGCGGCCCCTTCACGGCCCAATCGCCGCCCTTCAAGGCCCCGTTGCCTCCCTTCGCGGCCCCTCGCGGCCCCTTCTCGGCACCGTCACCACCCTTCACGGCCCCTCACGGCCCCGTCTCGGCCCCGTCACCGCCCTTCGCGGCCCCTCACGGCCCCTTCTCGGCCCCATCGCCACCCTTTGCGGCCCCTCACGGCCCCTTCGCGGCCCCTTCACCGCCCTTAGCAACACCTTCTCTGCTCCTCCGCGGCCCCCTTCTCGGCTCCCTCACAGACCTGCCGCCCCGCCGTCGCCGCCCCTGCAGTAGCAGCCGTCACCGCCCCTACAGCGGGAGCCGCCACCGACGGTGCTGCTGACAGCAGCAGCCGCCGCCGCCACTGCCGGGGCCGCAGCCGCCGCAGCCGCCGACAGCAGCAGCCACTGCTGCCACTGCCGGGGCCGCAGCCGCCGACTGCAGCCGCCATCGCCGCCGACAACAGGGGCTGCCGCCCCCGTCCCGGGCCTGCCCTGCAGAGAGGAGCGGCAGTCCTCTGCCGCCCTGTAGTGGCCCCGTCCTTGCCGGCGCGCCTCGGCCCTGCCCCATCACTTGTGGACCTCTACCCACCTGCCCTGGTAAGAGCACCACCGAGCCGCGCCCCTACTGTTGCTACTGCTGCTGCTGCCCCTAGCCTGCTGCCACTGCTGTCATGGCTACCCCTAGCGTTCTCGTCTTTGATGCTGAGGGTCGGGCTGTTGACTTTGAGTTCTGGGTCACTGATCTACAGCTTTTCCTACAGTGCGATAGGAAAGACGGTCTCTCACTGTTTGATCTCACGTCTGGCGCCTCTGCTGCCCCTGCTGCCGATGCTGACAACACTGTTCGCTCACAGTGGGCCACACGCGATGCTGCTGCCCATCTTGCAGTGCGTAGTTACTTGCCGTCCACTGAGCGCGCGCACTTCAGTCAGTACAAGAGTGCTAAGACCTTGTACGACGCTGTAGTTGCACGCTACTCTTCCCCTGCCACTGCTGCCCTTAGCCGCCTCATGCTGCTGTACCTGTTCCGTAACCTCGCCGCCTTTCCCACAGTCGCTGACCTCATTACGCACCTTCGCACTAGTGACACCCGCTACCGCGCTGCGCTTCCTCCTGAGTTCTGCGCCAAGAACCCCCCCCCATGTACATCACCCTCTACTACATAGTCACCCGGCTCCCTGACTCCCTTCATTCGGTCAGGGACCACTTCCTCTCTGTTTGCCCCACCACACTCACCGTTGACCTCCTCGAGGAGCGCCTCCTGGCAGCTGAGAAGAGTATAGTTGCGGTAGGAGCCTCTCGTGGTGACCCTCGTGCCCCCTTCTTTGAGGGGTGCTCCCCCTCCCCCCTTTTGCCCTCTGTTGCCTCTGCTGCAGCCGTCGACTTCGTTGGCACCGAGTCGGTCGGCGCTGCGTCTGCCCCTAGCGGGAGACGTCGCACCGGCAAGGGCAAGGGGGGCAAGGGCGCTGGAGGGGCTGGCGGGGGCGGTGGAGGTGGTGGTGGAGGCAGCGGAGGGAGTGGGGGGGGGCGGTGGGAGTGGTGGCGGGGGTGGGGGCTTCGGTGGCGGTGGTAGAGGCGAAGGCGGCGGCGGCGGTGGCGGTGGAAGCGGAGGAGGAGGCGGTGGCGGCAGTGGCGGAGGTGGCGGCGGCGGAGGTGGAGCTGGTCGGGGTGGCTCTACGCAGCGGAGCGACTTCGGTGGTGGTCAGCGCCAGCAGCAGCAGCGCAC